TGGTGTGAGGTACAGATCTTGTTTCACTTTTCTGCAAATGGTATCCAGTTTTGCCAGCACCATTTGTTAAACAGGCAATCTCTTCCCCATTTTATGGATTTCAGCCCTTTGTCAAAAATTAGCTAACCTTAGGTCGATGGATATATTCCTGGGTTCTCAATTCTATACCACTGGTCTATGTGTCTGTCATTGTACCAATACTAGACAGTTTTGACTACTGTGGCCGTATAGTAGGTTTTGAGAACTGAGAGTGTGAGACCTCTTACTTTGCTCTTCTTCAATAGCGCTTTGCTTATCCAAGGTCTCTTTCCTTTCCATATAAAATTAGTGATTGTTTTTTCCATAAGCTTAAAGAACATTGATGGGATCTGGATTGTGATTACATTGAATATATAGATTGCTTTGGATAGTATTGACATTTTCACAACATTCAATCTTCCTATCCATGAGAATGTTATATTCTTCCATTTATGTAGGTCTCTTATGGTTTCTTGAAGTAGTTTTGTAGTTTTCTTTCTACAGGTCTTTTGTGTCCCTGGTAAGATTTATTTCGAAGTATTTTTTTGTTGTTGTTAGCTATAGTAAATGGTATTGATTTCCTTATTTCTTTTTCAGCAATCTCTTTGCTGGTGTAGAGGAATCCAACTGATTTTGGAATTTTGACCTTGTGTCCTGCCACTATGCTAAATCTCTCAGTTAGTTCCAGTAGTTTTTTTGCTGAGTCTTTTGGGTTTTCTATGTATAGGATCATATCATCAGCAAATAGGGATAATTTGACTTCTTCCTTACCAATCTGGATGCCTTTAATTTCCTTTTCCTACCTTATTGCCCTGGCTAGGACTTCCAATACCATGTTGAATAGAAGTGGTGATAGAGGGCCTCCTTATCTGGTTCCTGTTCACAAGCGAACTGGTTTTAGTCTCTCTCCATTGAGTATAATATTGGCTGTTGGGTTTGCCTATGTGCCTTTTATTATGTTGAGGAATGTCCCTTCTATTCCTATTTTGCAGAGAGTTTTTTTTTTTTTAAATCAGGAATGTATGTTGGATTTTAGCAAATGCTTTTCTGCATCGATTGATATGATCATGTAGTTCTTTTCCTTTGTTTTAGTTATGTGATAGATAACATTGAATGTTGAACCATCTTGCATACCTGGTATGAACCCCACTTGGTCATAATGTATTATTTTTTTGACATGTTGTTGGAGTCTATTGGCTAGGATTTTGTTGAAGATTTTTGTGTCTGCATTCATGAGGGATATTGGTCTATAGTTTTCCTTTTTAGTGATGTCTTTGCCTGGTTTTAGGAGCTCTGGTGGCATAGTGCCTAACCATGCTAACCAGAATGCTGGCAGTTCAAACTCACCAGTCACTCCTTGGATGGAAGATTGGGCAATCTACTTCCATAGAGATACTGCCTCAGAAACCTAAGGAGAGGTTGCTATGAGTTGGGACCTACTTGATGGCAGTGAGTTTAGTTTTTTTGACCTGGTTTTGATATCAAGATTTTGCTTACTTCATAAAATGAATTGGGGAGGTGCCAAAGGGGGAGGGAGGCCACATTTCTGACCTCTTCTAACCCCACAAGAGGAAGACAGAATCACCATCAGTAGCCCAAGGCCTATTCCTGAGAGGTCAGACATGCTGCCTCCCTCCAGCCCTTTCACCAACCACTCCTCCTGCAACACCCACCACCTCTCTCCTGGGTTTGGTAATTTACTGCAGTGGCCACACAGAACTCACAGATTATGGGGTCTATTAATGAAGCAACAGGCTACAATTCAAGTTCAAAAATGCACTCAGTCTCTTGCAGCCCACCATCTCTCAGCCAACAGTGTCTCTCAGCAATGTGTGTCTCCTGAGATCTCTCTCAGCAGTGCATGTCTCTTGTGTCTCTCTCTCAATTATGCGTGTCTATTGCATCTCTCAGCCAGCAGTGAGAGGTTCCTTCTGCTTTTAGGAGTGCTCCTTTTGAGCCTGGCAGAGTTGCCAAACTAACCAGTTCTAACATCAGAATTCTATACACCCGAGAGAGAGAGAACATCCCAGAAGATTGCTTCATGCCACTCTCAACAGAAATATCCCAGGTGGATAACTTTAACAATCAGGAGCTTCTCAGGTGCTCATGGCAAATTCCACCATGGAGTTTACAAAGACTTATGGCTAGAAAAGCCACACTATGTAATTTACTACACCTCAGGAGGATTCCATTCTTTCATGTGTTATGGAATAATTCGAGTAGGATTGTTGTCCATTCTCTGAACGTTTGGTAGAATTCTCCACTGAGGCCATCTGGGCCAGGACTTTTTTCTTGTTGATAATTTTTTTCTGATCTGTTCAATTTCTTCTTTTGTTATGAGTCTGTTCAAATTTTCCACCTCAGTGTGTTTAGTTTAGGTAAGTAGCATGTTTTTAGAAATCTGTCCATTTCTTCTAGATTTTCAAATCTGTTGGAGTACAGTTCTTCGTAGTATCCTGATATTATCCTTTTTATTCAGTTGGTTCTGTTGTGATATTGTCCAATTTGTTTCTTATTCATGTTATTTGAATTCCCTCCCTCTTTTCCTTTGTTAAGTTTTCTGGTGGTTTGTCAATTTTATAAATCTTTTCAAAAAAACAACTTGTATTCTTGTTGATTTTTCCTATTGTCTTTTTATTTTCTGTTTCATTTATTTCTGCTTGAATATTTCTTTCCTTCTGTTGATGGTAGGCTCTTTTTGCTGCTCTTTTTCTAATTGTTGGAGTTGTTGGGCTGAGCTGTTTATTTGGGCTCATTCTTCTCTTTGGATGTGTGCATTGAATGCTATAAATTGGCCTTCCATAGGATTTTCAATAGCTGATTTTTCAGAAGTAGTTTGCCAACCCTTTCCTCTGAAGTCCTTCTAGGTGGACCCAAACTTCCAACTTTTTGGTTATCAGTGAGCATGTTAACTGTTTACACCACCCAAGAATTGTTTGAGAATTATTAATACATAGGCATTCTAAAACATATGAGTTTCAAAATGTCCCACTAAGTGCTGGACCACTTGCAAGGGAATCTTAAGGGAATTAGTGATTTCTTATTACATATCCAGGCTTCAGTGCTGACTTTATGGATGTTATTCAGATTTCTCCCCAACCAGAAAACCCTTCATGTCAAAATCAGAGAATACTCTTCTTGGTAGAAAGCCTCAAGGATAATAGCCTTTATTAACTTTTACTGATAATAAAAGTGTTAACTGCATATTAGAGAAAAAAGAGAAAGCTATAAATGAAAATCTTTTGTAATATTATCATCCAAATAAACGTGGCTAACATTTGGCATACTTTCCCCACTGCTGTTTGTTGTTGCTGGGTGCGATCAAGTTGGCTCTGACACATAGTGACTCCATGTACAACAGAAAAAAACACTGCCCAGTCCTGCATCATCTTCACAATCCTTGCTATACTTGAGCCCATCATTTCAGCCAGTGTGTCAATTCATCTCGTTGAGGGCCGCCCCCTTTTCCACTGACCCTCCATTTTACCAAGCATGATATCCTTCTCCAGGAAATAGTCCCTTCTGACAGCATGACACCAAAGTAGGTGAGAAAAAGTCTGGCCATTCTTGCTTCCAGGAGCATTTTGGCTTCACTTCTTCCAGGACAGATTTGTTTGTTCTTCTGGCATTCCACAGTACTTTCCATATTCTTTGCCAACACCATAACTCAAAAGCATCAACTCTTCTTCCATCTTCTGTATTCACTGTCCAGCTTTCACATGCTTATGAGGTGATTGATAATACCAAGCCTTGGGTTAGGCGCACCTTAGTCATCAAAAAGACATCTTTGCTCTTCAGCACCTAGAAGAGGTCTTTTGCAGCAGATTTACCCAGTATAATATGAAGTCTGATTTCTTGACTGCTGGTTCCATGGGTGTTAATTGTAGATCAATGTAACATGAAAACTTTGACTACATCAATCTTTTCTTCATTTATTGTGATGCTGTTTATTGGTCTATTTTTGAGGATTTTTGTTTTCTTCTTTATGAGGTATAATACATACTGCAGACTATAGTTTTTAATCTTCACCAGTTAGTGCTTCTAGTCACCTTCACCTTCAGCAAGCAATGTTGTGTCATCTCCATATCACAGATTGTTGATGAGTCTTCCTGCAATCCCAGTGCCATGTTCTGCTTCATATGCTCCAACTTCTCGGGTTATTTTCTCAGCTTACACATGGAATAAGTATGGTGAAATGACACAACCCTTATACACATATTTACTGATTTTAAACTATGCAGTATCCTCTTGTTCTGTTTGAATGACAGCCTCCTGGTCTATGTACAGGTCCCTCATTAGCACAATTAAGTGTTCTGGAATTCCCATTCTTTGTAATGCTGTCCATCATTTGTTATGATCCATATGGTCAAAAGCTTTTGCATAGTCAATAAAATAAAAATAAGCATCTTTCAAGTATTCTTTGCTTTCAGCCAAATCCATCTGACATGAGCTATGATATCCTTCATTCCTTGTGCTGTTCTGAATCCAGCTTGCATCTCAACAGATAAGAATAGAGAATTGAACTAGCTGGTTTAGTAGTTGAGGATCTGACCACAAGGTGGCAGAGTATCTTTGCTGATGCAGAACATGCTGATGAAAGATTCCTTTTGGTTGATTTCTCTGAGTAGGCTAAAGACAACAGGAGTTTCTTATGTAAGTAGTTTAAGCAAGTGTGGTTTGGAGGAAGGGAAGAGGTAACCTGATAAAAGAAGCAGCTCTCTGGGCTGGAGGCTGAAGGTCCCAATTGGGAGAACAATGAAGACAACTTTGTTAATATTCTTGTGGCTGCAGCTAGACTGTAAGTTAAGGGCTTTCGGGGAATGGGGTGGCTTAGTAAATATTCATTAGAACTCTGAGGGGGAGGCTGGCCTTTTCCAGATTTGTGGTAGTCACTGTAGGAAAAGAAATGCAGACTCTGGAGAACGAGGACTTGATGATGTGTTCCTTTGTCTGACTTTTCCTTTTTTCCCAGGTGTGGGCAGAGGAGAGAAGGTGGAGCAGAGTCCTTCTCTCCTGAGAGTCCAGGAGGGAGAGAGCACTTTTTCCAACTGCACTTATACCGACAGTGCTTCTGTCAGTACATCCTTCTTTTGGTATAAACAAGAACCTGGAAAAGGTCCTCAGTTGCTCATACATATTGTTTCAACTATGGACAAGAAAGAAGACAAAAGACTCACTGTCCTATTGAATAAGAAGGACAAACATTTCTCACTGCAAATCGCAGACTCTCTTCCTGGGGACTCAGCCACCTACTTCTGTGCAACGAGTGCACAGTGCTCCCCAGGCACCTGCACCCTGTACCCTAACCAGGGCCTGGGCTGAAGGCCTATCCCATTCTTTGGGAGATGTTCAAATTGAGTATTTTTCTGTATTGCATTTTTAATTCATAAAATCAGTTGTCATTGGGTTGACTCTGACTCAGGGCTACGCCATGTGTGTCAGAGTAGGTGGCAGAGTATCTTTGCTGATGCAGAACATGCTGATGAAAGATTCCTTTTGGTTGATTTCTCTGAGTAGGCTAAAGACAGCAGGAGTTTCTTATGTAAGTAGTTTAAGAAAGTGTGGTTTAGAGGAAGGGAAGAGGTAACCTGATAAAAGAAGCAGCTCTCTTGGCTGGAGGCTGAAGGTCCCAATTGGGAGAACAATGAAGACAACTTTGTTAATTTTCTTGTGGCTGCAGCTAGACTGTACGTTAAGGGCTTTTGGGGAATGGGGTGGCTTAGTACTCCACAGGATTTTTTTTTTACAGTCAGTTTTAAACTTTATTTTTAAAATGTATGTAACATAAAATTTTCTGTTTTAACCATTTTTTTTTTTTTT